ATTTGAAAAGGAAACACAGCAGATTTCAAACCTTGGTAGAATTCACCAGGAGGATCAGGTGCAATGTTGAACACTTGGTTTAACTTTTAGATAACAGAGGGTTAATGAATTTTAAGATTAAGTGTTTGTTCTACAACATGCCTTTCATGGATTATGTTATCTTTGAATTGTCCTTTCTGGCAGTAACCTCTCAAGTGACTTTTTGTAGATGTACTTTCAGTTGTATTACCAAAGATGCTGCATTTAATCAGCTTGCATAAAAGCTCAGGTTAGCTGTCAGTGATCGTGCACTCATGTTCCAGTGCTGCTTGACTTAGAATTATATGAGTTGGGTCTTGTAAGAAAAAGCTTGAAAGCTTGTCAGGTGCTTACAAAGACGTAATGTAATTTCTCTTGCAGAAGTATGCAGCACGCTATGACACAGGAGTGTCCCAGGGATTTTGAGAGAAGTGCTGACACTCATATACTCTGCTGCATGTATGTAGACTAATGTACTGCAAAAGCAATTGAGCCAAATCTTTATTTGACTCCATATTAGGGAACTTCTGTAAAAAAGGGACTTTAACCTACTAATGCTTATTTTCTGGAAACCTCTTGTTAAATGATGTTTTCATTCAAGGTCAGTTGGCATAGCAGAGCTGGCCTGTAGGAGGTCAAAGCCTGATGTAACGTTTTCAGATGGGTCAATAGTCTGTACACTTGTAGTGGGAAGTAACTGAAATCCCTTATGCTTATGTGTTTCTCTGTAGTTTCTTCCCGTGTGTCTAAGACAGCAAGTATCTCTCAGCTCTAAGAGGTGTAGGACAGCATGAAACTAATGGGCGTGTGTCTAGCAGTCTTGGTGGGAGCTCAGTTTCCAATGCCAGGAGGTAGACCTGGAGAAGACAAATATGAGTGATTATGCTGGCTTTGATAATCAGAGTTAACTTCAGTGCAGATAACATGCTTACTGCCTTCCAAGGTAAAATACTTGAATTTCTTACACTAAAGTGGTGGCTCATCAGTGTTAGAGTTCTGTAAGTATTATGGACTCAAGCATACAATGTCAGGGCATCTATATTGGACTGGTAGAGAACCAGGGATACCCAGGCCAGGCTAACAAGTCTGCATTCCTCAGAAGTATAGATTGCTGAAAAGTAAGGCTTGATAATGAGGAAGCTAAGCCTCTCCACCTTAGATGCCTGATTACAGTGTTTGCAGGTGAAATATCATGAATACCTGCAGAGTACTTGTTGACATTTAAATATGTTAGGTACCTTTTTGGGACAGACTTATTTTCAGTTAAAAGGTGCCAATCCCGGTTAGTCTCACTGAGGATGCTTTAAGAGTAATGTGCTTAATGTGGCCCTTATCAGCCAGCACCATTGACCTGTTAGAATATTTCAGAATCTGGCACTTCAGGGAGCTGTTTTGGTGGGTAAACGGTAAATCTTAAAAGCAGAAGACTTAGATGAACATTGCACAGAGCTTCTGAGAAGGTGACTCAGTCCAACATGGATGCTTTCTTAGCAGTTCTGTGTTAGCACACTGTACTGCTGGTGTACCAGAGACACTGGGCTAGCTCCTTCTAACCATGTATGCTCTGGCCGTGTGTGCCTTTCAGATCCTTCTTTAACCTAAGATCTTACCTTTTTTCTTTTTACCTTTAGTGCTTTTGCTACTAGCCTTGCCATGCATTGAGGACACTTTTTTTTTTTTAAATAGTCTAACTATTCTTTGATCCATTTTGGTGTTCTGAGGGTGTATCAAAGCCCAGGGCTGAAAAGTTAATGTCACTGCTACTGAAGAGAGATGCTTTAAACATTTTTTTTTCTTTTTTTTTTTTTAGAACAGACCTATCTGGTCTGGAATTCAATTTTATATTTCGTACTTCAATAGTTAATTTATAGTCATAGTAGTAAGAGAACACTGTTTGGTTTTTTTTTTTTTTTCTGCTGAGTTGTCAACCTCAGTTGCTAAAGGTTATGTTGCACTTCAGTCTTGTGTGTAAGGCAGAGCAGTATTAGGCCAGTATGTAACTTCTGAAGATTTGTGAGGTGGCAGGGAACACTTATTTAATGAATAGGCATAATTTTTAGCTTTGGAATGTTTCACAGAGCACTCTTACAGCAAGAGGAATTAAACTGTACTTCACAATATTCTTTGTGAACGTCAGGGTAGAATATGAGTTGAATTTCTAACCGAAGCCACAGATAGCTGAGCAGTGTTTTGAGGAGTTTTGTTCATTATATGCAGCTTTGTTTCTGTTGAATTGTAGTAGGAAGCTGAAAAGGTAATACTAGAGGAAATAAGGTTGAAAGTGACTTCCTGGATTTTAGCATGCTTTTTCCAAACCTGGTATACTGATGTGTTTACTGTAGTGCATGAAGTCTAAGCTTTGTGAGAATCAACATCACCTGACTTTGTCACTGCATACATCTGCTGTCTTTACTAGCTCAGTTGTTTTGGTTGCTTGTTGGAAACATGGAATTTGAGGTCTGTCACAAATGAGTTACATTACTGAGGAGTGCTGGTGGATGATAGAATGAACATGAGCCAACAGTGTGTGGTCACAGCCCAAAAAGCCAGCGATATTCTGGGCTGCATCAAAAGAAGTGTGTCCAGCAGGTCAAGGGGAGGTGATTCTGCCCTTGTGAGACCCCATCTGGAGTGCTGCGTCCAGCTCTGGAGCCCCCAACACAAAAGACATGGAGCTGTTGGAGTGTGTCCAGAGGAGGGCTACCAAGATGGTCAGAGGGTTGGAATACCTTTCCTACAAGGACAGGCTGAGAGTTGGACTTATTCAGCCTGGGAAAAAGAAGATTCTGGGGAGACCTTGTAGTGGTCTTCTAGTAACCAAAGGGGACCTACAGGAAAGCTGGGGAGGAACCTTTTACAAGGGCCTGCAGTGACAGGACGAGGGGTACTGCTTGGAACCTGGGAGAGGGCAGGTTTAGACTAGACACAAGGGAGAAGTTCTTCACCCTGAGGGTGGTGAGACACTGGAACAGGTTGCCTAAGGGAGTTGTGGATGCTCCATCCCTGGCACTGTTCAACATCAGGTTGGATGGAGCCTTGAGCAACCTGGTCTAGTGGGAGGTGTCCCTGCCATGGCAGGGGGGTTGGAACTATATGATCTTTGAGGTCCCTTCCAACCCAAACCATTCTGTGATTAAAACATGACTTTTTTCCTTGTGAAATGGATGGACAAGGACCTATCCTGCATGACATTTGGAGGACGGTGTATGAGGAACAGTCTGCTTCTAATCCTGGGCTCATTTAAGAAATGGGGGAGGGGGGCAGGATCAGCTTTGGTAAATGCTAGTTAGTTGTGGTGCACCCATGAGACAAGATGTGTTTTCTAAGATTCTCTTTTTGAATAATTCAAAGCTTTTTGTGTGTCAGAACTATGGTTTACCTGAAACATAGGTAGAAGATGTGTTGCTATGTTGTCAGTCAGTTTTTAATATAGAAATTAAGTAGAAATTAAGTTTCTAAAATTGCATTTTAGTTTAGCCAGATTTTGTCCCAAATAGATGAATTTCCTGGGTGTTTACAGGTAGTGATGTCGCTGTTTGGAGCAGACTTTGAATAGATCCACCTTGTGTCCAGCACTTTTAAACTAACTCTTTCTTGCCACTTTTTAGGTTGCCTTGATTCTAATAGATATGTGCATTTTAACTTTTAACACAGGGTTGGTTTTTACCCCCACTTGATCCAGAATTCTCTTAACTTGTTGGATATTTCTGTCCAAGAGGATGGGAAAAATTCAGTACTCTAAGGAGAAATCCTTCAAAGGGGTCTCTAGTGCAAAATTTATTCTCAGAAAACATTTCCTTAGAATGGAAGCATATCAACATTGAATTTTCTCTTGGTATGTGAGGGTGGTGGTTGTGCGTGTTTGAGAGGTGGGAGTGGAAATTAACAAAATCAAATCACATTGAGAACTAAGCACAAGTTTTAAGAAATACTAGATGGGCTTTACCACAGGGCTGCTTTCCTCAAGAGCTGAGAAAAAACTTAAATCTTAACTTTAAAGAGAAGCCTGGTTTTGAAGTCAGAACATACATACTGAGACCATGTGATGGTAATGGATATTGAAAGTTTTTCTGGTGTTCACATAAGCCTAGAAGTGATACAATAAGTGGTGCAGCTCTGAGAAACCTGTAGACTAAGGAAGATTGGATGAAGTGTGATGGTAAATGAAAATACCTGAGTAGGAACACGTAGAAAACATGGAACAATTTTCAAAAGCAACTTGTAAATTGGAAGCTTCTAATCTATTGCACATCAATGGGAATGTGGTAGAATCCTTAAGGCGTTTGGAGAAGAGGTACCCGACAGCAACCTGAAAGTGATTTTTGAAATGTTTTCTTCATATTACAGCTGCAGGCACAGTGATTTAGTGATTAGGAGATGAGGGAGGGGAGTATCGCAGTGGTATGGAGAGATAGAGATTGACTGTTCGGTTTGCTCAAATATGAAAATGAGGGGTGGTTATATAAGACTGAGTGAAATTCAAACTGAAAGGAGGAGGTTCTTCATGTGAATGATTGTGGATCTGTGAAGCTGCTTGTCAGAGGACTTCATGGCTGTAAGAAATCTGTGCAGACTCAAAGGGAAGCTGAAGTACTTGGAAGAAATTCATGAAGGTTACCAAACAGATCACATAAGGCTCAGGCAAACACCTGGAAATAGTTGGGGCCTGAAGAACCCTTTCGAATATCATGTTTTTTTCTGTTTATTTTTGGAGATGGTGCTAGAGGGAACTTGTGTCATATTATGAAGGAGGAAGAATCTGAGCAAAAAAGTTACAACAGGACGGAGAGAAGCCAATGGGTGACCAAAGTCTTTTTAAATACAAAATTAGAGTGAAACATTGTAAGCAGTAGTGAGAATAGGAAAAACACATTTGGTTTGGGTGTTTGTTTTTTTTTTTGCTTAGTATAAATGTGGATAAATAGGTATTAGTTGGAAGAATAAAATTTCTAATTATTCTTGTTTATCACTCTTTTTATTAGCAAAACCAAATAGGAAGCTGACATTCCTGTACCTGGCCAATGATGTCATACAGAACAGCAAAAGGAAAGGACCAGAATTTACGAAAGACTTTGCTCCAGTAATAGTGGAGGCTTTTAAGCATGTTTCAAGGTACAGTAAGCTGTTATGTGCAGTGTCCATCATACTATATTTGAGGGGTATTTAGAGAAGTCCTCAGTTGATCTCTTCTGACCCAGCTAGTCCTTATGTGTTATTCCTGTACCTGAAGTCTTGTTAATTTAATTTTTTCAGTGATCTTTTGATCTTGGGTTCTTAATGCTACTGAATGAAGTTACATAGTAAATTCATCTGCATTCAGTCCCTTTTGCCTTAGAAAGCTGTTAGCTGTGCCTTAAATTAAGATGCTTTCAGTCTGTGTATTTATGTGCTACAACAGTTTACTATGTTTCTTTACTGGTATTGCATGATTTATTTTTCCCCAGCAGCCATTCATCTCATTGCATGAGGATGCCAGAGTCTTGATACAGAATTCTTTTCACATGGTACACAGCTGTTGAAGCAACACAAACCCATTTGCAGTGTTCGTGTAGTAGGGTTATGGACCTACAGATTTATGGGTTCAGCAAGCAACAGAGAGAGGGAATTGAGTGTCAGCCTTTTTTATGTGCTTGCTGAGACATCTTGAACTGGTTTTTGCTTTCTTTTCTTTAAAATGTAGTTTTGTTATATTCTGAGATTATTGGACTTCCGATACTTTGTTATTACTAAGATATACCCAGGTCCTTCTGTGACAGATAATCATACAACAGTACTGTACTTCTAGCTAGTGCTGATTTTTGCCTCTTTTTTTTATTTTTTTTGCTTGTAACAGTGAGTCTGATGAGAGTTGTAAGAAACACCTTGGCCGAGTGCTGTCTATCTGGGAAGAAAGGTCTGTTTATGAAAATGATGTATTAGAACAACTTAGGCAAGCTTTGTGTAAGTATTTTGTGTGTGCATGAAGATTCAGTCTCTTGTTTGAAATACTATTTCCGTGACTCCTCTGTTTGTTTTAATTTAGATGGAGACAGAAAGGTGAGGAAACGCACATATGAACAAATAAAAGTTGATGAAAATAACTGTTCACCTCGAAGTTCTCCGACTGATCCTCCACAGGTAAAAGCATGTTTATAAAATTCTGTATTTGCATATGGCTTGATAGAAAATTTTTCAGTTACTCTTGGTTTTGAATGGTCTCTGTTTTTCTTTTTAATGAGGTACTGCTTCTGAGCAAGGGTGTCTACACCTGAAACGTTTTCACAGTACTGTAGGTTACAAGTGGAGTGTGCTGTCACTTCAGTCAGTTTGACACTAAACCAGAATGTATGAGCTATATATCCAGCTTTGTCCACATCAGGATTTCGGCATTAGTTACTACAGTGGTTTAGGTTCTCATTTGGTTTCCAGGGTGGTAACAAGTAACATGTATTCGAATAAGATTGTTACTGATTTATCAATACATTTTTGCAATGTTGCAGTCGTGATGGTTGGGAAGAGTTCTTGTCTACCTTGCATTGTTAGGGCTTTTATAATACTTGTGGGTTTTTTGTTATGGTACTGCCCCATCTCAAAAGGCTTTTTGTTATGGCAAGGAATGACTGTCCTAAAATAATCACAATTTAGTAGTCTTCTCTGTAACAGACATCTGGGCTTCTGTGAACATCAGCCCTACTTCCAAAAGAAGTGCACTGGTCTAGTCTGATGTGATAGCGAAGCAAAACTACAAGAAAAATAATTTTTAAACTATACAGTAAAGTGAAAGGTACTGTAAAATAATCCCTACTATCAAAAATAAAAGACTTACAAGTAGTCCTATACCAAGAATTTAAATGAAAATTATTTTAGGAAGGGGACCTTTAAAGCTAGGAACACTACAATGTTGTTCTGAGAATTAATGGCTTGGTTTTGTTTTGTTTTCCATCGGAGAGGGCGTAGAATGTTGCTATAATGCTGATATCGTAAATGCTTTTAAAATTACCATCAAATTGATTCTCTAAGTTTATTGTGAAATGCTGTTTTGTACTAGAATCTGTTTATTTAAACTAGTTCTCAATCTTGCATGCTTTTTTCAGACCACAGATCTCATTAGAGCTTTACAAGAACTAGAAAACGCTGCCTCTGGGGATGCAGCAGTTCATCAGAGAATAGCTTCTTTGCCTATAGAGGTCCAAGATGTGTCCCTATTAGACAGAATAACAGGTGAGGGTTGGGGGACCCAGTAACTGACATGTTGTTCGGAGAATTTAACAGTATATAATGAAATCATGCTTTACTTGTTTTTTTCTGCTTGCTTTTTAGATAAGGAATCTGGAGAGCAACTTTCCAAAATGGTAGATGATGCATGTATGTTGCTGGCGGATTACAATGGCAGGTTGGCAGCTGAAATAGATGATAGAAAACAGCTAACTCGAATGTTGTCAGACTTTCTCCGATGTCAAAAAGAATTCCTTGCAGAGAAAGAACATAAACTGGAAGTGCGTAATATTTTTAGTCCATTCTCCGCTAAAGCTTGTTCTTGCAAATGTTTTTAGTTTGCCTAAACAACTTTTCTCTCCAAAGGTAAATACTTAATTGCTACTGTGAGGTCTTTGCTTCCAGAATCATTAGCAAGATTTCTTTTGGTTCTAGTGTTCTAAGTCTGTTAAACCAGCTCAACATTAGGTAACGTACAACTGTAATTACATCAGTGTTTGTCTGTTCTGTTTTTTTAGCCCATTCATTATATGGACGGACTTAGTTTTAGTAGTGCAGATAAAGTCTTATCCTGAATGGTACAAACTTAATTCTTCAGAGAGTAGATTTTTTTTCTTGATTTTTTTTTTTTTTTAATTCATTGTTATAGGTCTTAGTTATGTATTACATTCTTTTAGTAATATCCTTTTAGCAAATAGAATGATCTTTCTGGTAGTCTTAGGTTTGTGAAGCCACTTAGAGGATAAGAATTTGATTACTGGTTTCAGCACAAATTTTTAACCTGTCTCAAGCATCCGTTAAACCCAGTAAAACGTAGTTTTGGCTTCTACAGCCTCCTAACACAGCTGGTTAGCAGCACTAGCACCATTAGGACAGGACAGATTATTAATAAAAGAGGATACAGAGTGAACAGCTCATGAGCAAATGATCCCCTAAGTTATTCTGTTCTTTGCTATTACCAGTATCTGAGTTCCTTTCCTGCTGCATAATATTGCCAAGCCTCCTGTTGAACATCTTGCGTGTTCTAAATAAGTCTGTAATTTCAGGTCCATTGCTTCCCAAATCCCTTGTCTCAGCTTTGAGACGTAGGTTGCAGTGTGAACTTGGCGCATCAATAGAACTGAAGCTGCGTCCTTTTGTGAGGGGAGATAGTGGAACAGTGGCAGTGCCCTGTAACTGCAGCATATGCATATGTGGTGCACAAATGAATTACTTTTCAGGTTTCATCAGATAGGCCTGTCAAGAACGTGTTCTTCACTCTGTGATTTCTTTACCCCTCCATAATGTCATAACTTGAGTCCAGATTTTGTGGTGTCTTTATTCGGGAAAATGCTGTTTGCGGTGTATCTGAAGTGATCATTCTGATCAGTTGTGTCATTCCTAGACTATAATTTCCTGAATTCCTGTGTTTGATCTGTGCCTCACAGAAAAGCAATTGATGAAGGTTCTTCTTGTCAACTTCTCTGTGTTTATCCTGTGGGAAGAATATCAACCAATTAATGTACAATAAGTGGGATGCAAGGTAGTGCTGATTGCAGTAGCAACTGATCCACCTGCACAGTGGAACCTGGAAGATTAAAGAACAGGAAACCTTCAGCTGTTAATCATCTGCCCTGCCTTTCTTGTGTGTGTGTGTATAATGTGTTTGAAGGGCAAGTTCCCACAGTACCAGTGTAGGGCTGATCATCTTGAGACACTCACTCCTTTTTGTAGATTATTACCAGCACTTAGACCCTGTAAGTAGACTTCTGAGATAGAGTTGCTCAAAAGACAGTGACGTAGTCCTTCAGACAGATTTATACTACTGTAAAAACAAGAGAGCTCAATTAATCAGAAATTACAAATGGAGTGTAGCTGTGAACAGATTCCACCCTTATTGGTTGTTTTCAACAAATACAAAACAGTTTAATTTCCCAGTTTTACTAGATCAAAGAGTTCATAACTGTAAGAGGAAGCAATTGCTTTTTCCCAGGCTAACATGGTCCTTAAAACTGTGTTTCCTGGCTGAGTTACTTAAACTGATAAAGAATCTCATTGTAACACAGCATACTTCCAGTTTTGGACTGGTTTGAGGTCTTTGTTTAGAAAGCAGGGGACCATCTTCAGTATCTGTGGCAGTCTGTTTTAAACAGATGAAGTCCTAGAATGTTGAGGTATACTGTAAGAATATTTTTAGGTTGACCGGTGTGATATAAATGCAGGTTACTAATAAAGAACGATGAGCCAAGGAACTGTAAAGAACAAGAACCTTAAAATCAAACTTCTAAACTTGTGTTAAGACGAGTGAAGTGCCTTTGTGCTCACTACCAGTAGTGCCTTTTGGTTTGGGAAGTGCAAGCTGACAAATTTTCTGAAGTTTTGAAATGTAACATCAGGATGTCTTCATGATGTTGTTCATAAGGCCAGTTGACTTGGCTTATAATTTTTTAAATTTTTTTTTTTTTTTTTTTAGGAAATGGCTACCTTCTGATTGAAATACCAAATACCTGTAACCAGATGCTTTTCTTTTCTGAAGCAAAGACTCTCTTTTTGCAGTCTTAAGAAATGACATACCTCAGATTGAGCCTTGCTTCTTGGCTTCTCATTTGAAATAAGGTTGGGAAAGGGCCTGTCACCTAATTCTTTTGAGAATGTGTTTCCTGAACTGTCTGTCCCTAGATCTTGCTGCTCAAGTTTGATTTCCGATGAAATTAGTTTGTTCTAGACTGGCTTGTTTCCTTTGTTGGAATTCTGGCTATTGACATTTTTTCAATTATAATATGGTCTCTGGGTTGTAACATATCAAGGCTTCATTTATTTCTGAATTAGTATCCCCAATCTGTGAGTATATTGCTAGATCCTACCTTACTGATTTGTCAAACACCCAGGTATGGTAAGAAATATGTGGTTGTATTCTTAGTGGAATCTAGAAATGTTACCTGCTGTTGACCTGGTTTAACAGTATCAGACTTTGACTTCCCAGAGAGTTCTTGCTAACTTTAAACTTTAGGTGGGAGTTTTAGACCTAATTTTGCAGATCTCTTAGCTTCTGACGAAAATTTACAGGTAGGTAACTTTGAATAACCAGTCTCTCCATGAGGAGTTTTTTAAGAATAAGAGTTTCTCTAGTAGTTATTTCTAAACAGAAGTGCATGATTCCCGTCAAAATCAAGGTAATGTATGCGTTAAATCTTGACAGGAAATTTTGCCAACAGATAACTAATATGAGCTATCATGTCTGCATCAAAAGCTAACTGTACTGCTTAGTAGGGGACTTTCATAAGCCTGCTCTGGGTAAGTAGTGTCATCTTTAACTCTTAAATTGTTTTCTTTTAACATCTGTCTAGCTTCTGTTGCAGGTGATGGACATGGACCTATCTTCTAATGATGTCACCATCCATTAGTACACACATCCTGCTAAAAATAAATTTAAGAATCAAAATCTTGTATTGTCTGTTGTTTTTGAAAACTGAAGAGGAATTCTGTAGCTACTCATACCAAACCTCTGCTATTTTCATCTATATTCTCACAAATGTTACTGAGTTTGTGCCTGAGATGGATAAGTATTTGTCTGGAGTCATTCCTTTTTCTTGAAGATTAAAACTTTCACATGGTTGTTCCTAAAACTCACAAGTCCTTTCAGTTGAATCATTCAAAATTCCAAATGCAGAAGTTTGAGTGTCACTTTCTTTGAAGCTGCCATTACCAAAAGGAAAATTCTGTGAAAACGAGACTTTTTCAGACTTTCCCTTTTTGACTTACACTCTAGCTGTTGGGTTTACATGAACATCAGAAATGAGAAGTCATGGATGTAGAACTAGTCCTTCACAAGCACAATAAAGAACTTACACTTTATCGGTGTACACCTATTTTACATGTTATGTAGGTAACAGAAGATGTATTTTATAACTGCTTTTATGCCCCTTTAGAGCCCCTCTCAAATTTAGGATCATCCTAAAGAGTATTTTCCCTTCACTTTTGTAAGTTTTAAAGTAGTATAACTATTGAAGGTTCAGTGTACTGTAGCTGTATCTGGAAACTTGTATGGGATTTATAGGTAGATGTGATTCTATCTGTTAGAGAAAATGGAAATTTTTGCAGAAAAATAAGAACCCTTTTTTCTCAACTTTGAGGACTAATTTCCTGTTTTCTACTACTTTAGCTGACTCTTCCCTCTGTGCTTCCTCATTGTGACCCCATCCCCTAGTTTTTGAACAGAAATATTGGTTGATCTGTTGATGTCACCGAAGGCTGATAAAAAGAGCATTTTATGTTATGCAGGAACAGAGGATTAGGTATACATAAATTAATATCCAGGTGTGGTCATCTCCTTTTGATAAAGACAGTGCTGTAGACAATCTAGAATTAACATGGCCTTCGAAATACAGGGATGACATGAACAAGAGAAGTACTTGATTACTGGTTTTTGATACTGCTTTGCTTTTGCATCTTCCACAATCTCATTGATTACAGAGTAAATAGCCTCTTACTAAATTTCAAATAAAGGCTTTGATAGTTCAGAATCTTACATGACTTATTAACAAGCACAGGCAGGGAGTCATATGACCCTTTTCTAGAAAAACAAGACCGCCCCCTCTCATCTTCATTTTGATGTTACGGAAAAGCGTAGCATCACTACACTTCATTGTATACTGGATGACCTAGTTTCTTACATAGTGTTTCTGTGAACTTGCCACTTTAAATTGGCAAACCTCTTGTCAACTGAATGCAAATTTTTGTGAAAGAAATGCTACTCTGGGAGGCCTGCTGTGTTTTAGAAGCTTGTATTTAATTAAGACCCTTTTATTGATGATATTGCTGTCTTGCATTCCTTATTTTCTACGGCTGCATAAACAATATTCGTATCCTTACACACACATCTGGTTATAGTTGTGGTTTCTTAGCATGTTGAGAGACTATTGCATGTTCGATTCACATGATTGAGCTTTATAGCTTAGTATAGCTTGACTTGTTTTCCTAAAGGGTTTAATTTTATCATGGGATTTTATGGGTAAACAGCAAGTAGTTAGTTATCCTAGTCTGTAGCTCTGGAATCAAAGGCTTTTTTCTTTTTCTGTTCGGTTCCAGCTTAATGGTTTCAAATGCAGACAAAAATGTTAAGCAAAGAATTTAGGGATGGAGTGGTATAACAGGCCTCTTGTGTTTAGGTTTTGTTTCTCAGTGCGAGACTGGATTGATGCTATTGTCTACTGTTTTCCTCCACCATGGCCTTTATGTTATCACAGAGTGTAGTGCTTTCCTTGCTGTTTTGATTTGTTTGGGTTTTTTTCTTTAGCCCCCT